GGGTCATAAACATATGGCTCCCATAAGTCTTTTCTTCAGAAAAGTGTAACCTCTTCTTTTTTTTAACTTTAAAAAAATATATTTTTACTTTATTTTTTATTTTATGTGTATGACTGTATTGTCTGCATATACGTGTACCAGTGCAGTGCCCACAGAGATCAGAAGAGGGTGTCAAATCCCCTGGAACTTGAGTTATGGATGGTTGTTAGCCATCATCTCTTCAATCCCCTTCTTTTTTTCTTCATATTTTCTAACACTGCTTTCCCTAATGCTTTGAACTGCCCCAACATTTGCATTTCTTTACTTTTTTCTTTAAAGCTTCCTGTCCCTCCCCTCTGTGTGGCTGCTAGTTTGTTTTGCCCCCTTGAAAACCCACATGGCTTCACTGCTTTTTCCTTCTCCCCTTCCTTCTCCTCCTAAAGGCAGTTGCAGATTTACAAGGCTTGCCCTCCCTGAGGTTTTGTCCTTAAATTCTAATAAAACTGCCCCATAGCTTTTGTTTGAGTCCATTCTTAAATTCTTTTATGAATGAGTCTAAGAACCCTCTAGGGGGTTCTCCCTTGTATCACTAATATATATTTATAGATCAAAAATCTCAGAGGATGAAAAATGCAAGGAATTTGCCAGTGTGAGCACTCACGCGTACACACACCAAATAATTTTTTTTTAAGAGTAAACATTTTGCAGGGTGTGGTAATGCACACTTTTAATGCCAGCACTTGAGAGGCAGAGGCAGGCAGATCTCTGTTAGTTCAAGGCCAGCCTGGTCTACATAGCAGAGTTCCAGGCCAGGCCAGCTGGCTGTACCTTGTGTCAAAAAAAAAAGACCAAAAAAAAAAAAAAAAAAAGAGTACACATTTTGCACAAAGGATGTAGCTCAGCAACAGAGCCCTTACCTAGCATACAGCCTCTGAGTTAGAGCCCCAGCACTGATCAAAAAAAAAAAAAAACCAAAAACCAAGAATAAATATATTTGGATTAATGAAAAGGGGAAGAGTAGGCCTAATGACAAATGATAGTACTGCAAATTTCAACTCACTTATAACAGTGGTGGATGTTTAACAACTGGCTATGCTACACTAAAAACTAGGCTTCTTCTTTCCCTGCAAACGTTTCATAACCTTTCAGAAATATGAGAAGAGTTATTCTGTTAGTATTTGGAAGGCTGATCTAGGTGACCTTAAGGTATCTCTGAAAAGCTTTTGTTTTTAGATGGTCTTGTTATCAGGAATATCTTTAAATAAGAAAGTTCACTATAATGGAAAGGATGTGCATGATAGAGGAATCAGAATTGCACTTCAAACTCAAATAGCTTTGTGACTTTGGATAAAGAACTTACCCTTTCTGATATTCAGGGTCCTCAGTACCTCTCAGGATTGTTCTGAACGATACACCACTTGAAACACATACTTTTATGTGTGTGGTTTCCTTCCTTTCATTTCTTTCTTTGTGTCTGAGATGTGGTCTTGTTAAGTTGCCCAGGCTGCTCTCAAACTCCTAAGCTTTGGTGATCCTGTTTCCATCTGAGTTGAGCAACTGGAACTACAGGCATGTGCCACCTGATCACTCTTCTTCTTCCCATTTCTACAACATGGTCTACAGTCAAACATCTGGGACCAATGAAGATTTTTTTTTTTTAAAATAGTGGTGACATGAACCAATTTTCTTAGGCTTCCAGTATAGGTTTTTATTTTTTTATTTTTATTTTTTAGATTTTTATTTATTATTTTAATTTTATGTCCATGCGTGTATTGCCTGCACATAGTTAAGTGCACCCATGTTGTGCAATACCCACGGAGGTCAGAAGAGGCTGTCAGATCCCCTAGGATTGGAGTTACAGACAATTGTTAGCTGTCATGTGGGTGCTGGGATTCGAACCTGCGTCTTCTGCAAGAACAACCAGTGTTCTTAACCGCTGAGCCATCTCTCCAGCCTGTATTTTAGATTTTTAAAACAATATACTTGACTGAAATTTGACTAGATGTTTTGTGGCACAGCATCTTAGTGACAAAGAAGGTGAAAGAGGAAATGGAAGAATCAGAAGCTAGATGACCATTATCAAACCTGTGAAATCTGCACAGAGGATCACTTGACCAGAATCTTTGTCCCGAGATGGCAACCAGTCTATCAACCAAACAACCAATAAGCACCTACCACCAACGTCATCAAATTATTTTAGTTTCCTGGAAAGTACTTCAAATTTCAGAAAGAAAAACTTGATTTTCTTTGAATTTTAAAAAGAGAAACCAGAATCTCAGACTGAGTAAAAACATGATTTTTTTTCTTACCTCTCTTCCTCATATTTTGATAATTAAAAGAATTAGAAGTAAGCATTCCATAAATCCTGGAAATCATTTTTTGTTACATATAAATGATTTCCTTTACATTTCTCATATATTTTGTTGAGAGGAAGACAGAAGGCCCGGTGGATAGAAATCACCCTAAATTAGTAGCTTATATGTACTGAAAAGCTAATGTTGTTCAAGTACATTTATCAACAATCACAAATCTTTTAATTAACTGTTACCATTGTACTCTTAAGAGTTTAAAAAATTATTCCGCCTTATTTTTTTTTTTTTGTGCGTAAGTGTTTTGTCTTCATTTATGTAAGTGCATCCATGATGTACATTGGCCATGGAAGCCAAAAGAGGGCATTGAATTCCCTGGAACTGGAGTTACAGATGGCTGTTAGCTGCCAAGCAGATGCTGGGAAATGAACTAGGGTCCTCTCAAGAGCAGCCAGAGTCCTTAAACATTGAGTCATCTCTTTAGACCCCTCTTGATTTCTTAGGAGTGAGCAATGGGGTCAACAACAAAACCAGACCAGACAAAACAAGCAAACAAAAAAACAAGAGCTGTCCTAGAATTTGTCTTTAGTAACAAATTATAAGTGATCTATACAATTTTTTTTTTGTCGTTTTTTTGAGACAGGGTTGTGGCCCCAGCTGTCCTGGAACTCACTATGTAGACCAGGCTGGCCTCGAACTCACAAAGATCTGCCTGCCTCTGCCTCCCAAGTGCTGGGATTAAAGGAGTGTGCTACCACGCCCGGCCGTTTTTTTTTTTTTTTTTTTTTTACATTTCTAAATTTAATCTGCCTCATGTACAGTGACTTAAACAGGCATGTTAATGCCCATGGCAGCCCCTCACCAACTGCTACCATCTTGCATTCTCTCAGTGGTGATTCTTTTTCCCATCCCAAATTCCAAGCAAAACATTCCCAATATTCTGAGGACCACCTTTTCATATACTATTCTATACATACACATGTTAACAAAATGAGACATTTACATAATGTCTTTATTGTGGCCCAGTTCAATAGCATTAAAATGTTTTTGATGTTTTTAGGTACCCACTTAATATAAGAAGTTATAAAGTTTAAATCAACCTGGATAACATACATTTTAATTTCTTGGGTGAAAATTTTATATTTTAATGTTTTTGTCTATACTAGTAAACTTTTGATGGACTCCGTAGAAGTACTCTCACAAGCCTTAATCTTAATAACTATGCATTTTATAGATAATGTACTTTTATAATGTTCAGTGAGATGGGTACACCAGCTCTAAAGTATTCCTGGAAGGAGTCACAAGCATATGTGACAGGAGCTGCATGATTGGTTGGTGGGGGCTGTGGAGAGTTCCGGGCTTACATGGGACTCTGATACAAAATGAATCTTAGGGAAGATAGTTTACAATGTCATTAAAGACCCAGTCTCTTTGAAAAGTTTTGCTCCAGCATCCAAAAGCAGAAGCTTTCCTGATTGTTGCTCCATGTTCCTCAAGAAGACACAGGGGAAGCATGAGCTTTGGGAACCCAAGTTACAGCTTCAAATTTTACCTCACTGGCTGAACGGTGTAATAGGCACTAGCTTCACTAGCTTTAAGGGAGTCTGAAAAAGGTTTTATTGTTTGTTTGTTTTGTTTTTTAAAGGTAGAATTGAAGTCCCTCTGGGGTTACTGGGCAAACAGTCTGTGACAGAAAATTTTGAGTCTAGGGCCTATATTCATTGTGACTGGAAATAAAAGGATTTCATCCTTATTTCAGGATAGAATTTGAGACAGTACATCTGTGATACCTAAGGTGTCCCACCTCAAACACAAGGTGGTGTGGGGAGGGTGTAGGGGATTCTGCTGCATGAGCTACTGAGAATTTCTCCTTGGTCATGAATTCAGTGGTAGTTTGAAGTCCCTCTGAAGATGAGGGAAAGAGACGAGTTCCTGTAAAAGCCACCTATACGTTCAGCATGCCTACCAACCCACATGTGGCAACCTGGCGCTGTGAAAATGCACATCTAACAAACTTTACAATATGGACTCCTCAACCAGTGCAAAAAATGAGTAAGTCCAAGTGGGCCAGTAGACTCAATCTGGCACCGCTATGTCTAAGCTGTAAAACAGAAAACTAAAATATGATCACCCATTTTTATGCACCACTGTACTGAACAGGATTAATATTCTGTGAAAACCTGACAAATGAAGTTTGAGAAGTTGCCATTCAGCTGAACTATACCCGGCTTTACACTAGTAGGGTTCACTTACTCATTAACAGGTAGGCAGTACTGAGGCTCAGAAAAGGTTGCTACAGTCCCACAACGTCAAGGTGGATTTCAAGTTTCAAAGTCTGTGTTCCTTACAAACGTGCCCATTTCCCGACTCCCCCTTAGCTCCAGCACTGTGTTTTGTAGGCAGAAGGCACTTAAAATGTGAGTTGAAGTTTGATTCAGCATCAGGAAGGTCATTATTTCTGCAGCTAGTTCGTGGAAGGAAGCGTTTCCTCCACCTTCAAGCTGTGAAGACAGGCCAGCTACACTAGTAGCCTGGCCTCAAGGCGGCCTCTAGGCCTCCAGGGCGGCGCAGACTTCGAGGGCGGGGCAGACTTCAGTGCGGCACCCAGCTCACTTGCCACAGGGCTGACCCGGCCACGCGAAAGGGCGTGCCGAGAGTGACGCACTTCCGCTCTGCACCTTCCGGCTTAAAGGGGACCCCAGCCCTCCTCACAACAAAATCGGCGCGCTAGGGCGCCGCCGCGGCCTGTCCCCGCCCTCCTCCTGCCACCTGCCGCCGGCCCGCAAACGGGCCGCCCTGCGGGGTCTGCCCCGACACCGCGCCGCCTCCCGACACCGGGTGGAACGGTGGGAAGGGAGGGGCCGCGGCGCCGACACCGGCCTTCCCTCGGGCTCCCTACGGGCCGCCGCCTGGTGTTTCTCCGGCCGCCGCCCAGGCCCGACGTCGGGCCTTGTTGCGTTTCATCTCGGGGGTTGCCACAGGGGCGGGGCGCTGAGGGGTCGCCGGGGCCTCCCCTTCTTTCCGGGGTCGGCTTCTGCGCGCCTCCCTCCGAGTCTGGAGCCAGGCGCCCCCGGACCTGGCGGGGACGGCTGCACCCCCGGCCCAGCACCGAGCTGCCGCCACCACCGCCACCGTCCATCGTTGGTACCGGCCATGGCCTTCATATCGCCAAATGTGCTTGTGACTGATTTGGACACGGGATATTGAGAACTCATTTCCGTCCCCATTCCGGCCGTGCCGGCCCGGTTCGGACTTAAACCTGCAGCACTTCCAGACTGCCCGACTTTGAGAGCACCATGGACCAAAATGGGATGGAGATTCCTGTGACTCTCATCATTAAAGCACCGAATCAGAAATACAGTGACCAGACTATTAGCTGCTTCTTGAACTGGACCGTGGGGAAACTAAAAACGCATCTGTCTAACGTGTACCCTAGCAAACCAGTAAGTGTAAAACGGCGCAGCCACTCTGACCTGGAGCTCCGTGTGCCGTGTACCTCCCTTCTCCCAGCTCACCCCTCGTCTCTAATAAAATAGGTCTCCATTGGAAGGACTTTGAGTTCTGAGGTTGTTGGGTGTCTCCTGAGTGTTTGAGCCATCAGTACCTTACTAATGAGGTTCAGTTAATTAGTATACAAAAATTACAAGAGACAAGAATTTGCAGTTATGGAAAAGGGACCATCTTCCTTGGGATTTAAAGTCATGTAACGTAAATGTCAGATGCATTTTTTTTTTTTCCTTTAAGATAAGGAATCACAACCCGTATTAGAACTTTAATTGCTTTCTAGACTAAAATTTGCTTTCAACACCTGGCTCGGGAATTTGTTCACTGTGAAGAGAATTTTTTCCCTGGGAATAAGTATGCGACTCATGAAAATTATACTTTAACCATTCTGTATTTCAAGAGTTTTAACAAATTCGCTCTATCTCTACCTTCCACATTTTCGTTTTTCTCTTGAAGAGGATACAGAAATTGAGTCAAGAGCAGTCCTTCCGCACACCTCAGTCATATTTTATTTTGTTGTATTTTTTGTTGTTTCATTCAAATCAGTGTGCCATTGTTTCCCATTCTGAAATAAAGCTCCATTTGTTCTTGAAGTCAGATTTGAAGGGACCTAGTTGGTAAGTAAGACTTGGAATAGTTTAGAAAAGTATGTCATGTACAGTATATTAAAGTGAAGTCTTCATATTCTCTATTGTATAAAATTTACATTCTTACACACCTGGTATTCAATTACTAAACCTTATATAAATCATAAATATATTTAAATTTAAGTCACTTGATTTTTAAGGTGGGAAGTATTTTGCCCATTTAACCATGGGCCACTTGGAAGGCACCTGCTTTTTAAGTTTCTAAATATGAAGGCTACTTGGTATATATTAAAATATTTATGAGTTAGAACATGACTCGAAGTATTGTTTAAGTTTGAGACTTCTAGCATAATCACGAAATTAAGAAAGTTACTACAAAATAGGTTAAAAACTCAGTGGGCAATAATAGCTCTATTTGTCAGTTCCTTGTGTTAACAAATATTTTTAGTATGTGTGGAAACCCTGAGGTATTAGTTGGTACAAACTACTTAGAACTCTTGCTTATTCAAAGTTTATGTTTCAAAGTTATGATTTACACAATGAGAATAAAAATTTGCTTAAAAACTTCTAATTTGCATCTGATTAGGTTCCCACATCTTTGAAGCAGAAAGTAGCTTTTGAGACTAGTCATAATTGAAAGGCATAGACCCTCTACAGTACCATTCATAACAGTCCAAATACTGTTTTAAAGTATAATCACAGACATTCTGCCTGCCTCTGCCTCCCAAATGCTGGGATTAAAGGCGTATGCCATCACACCCGGCTAAAGTACATCCTTAAACATTTATATACCTGTATGGTGTATTCTTAGGTGAGATCTATGTATGCCATTACACCATGAGGGACTTGGTTTGTGATCCAGTAAATCAAGAGTTAGCATTAACAGGAGGATCGGGAAATCATGGTAGTCAATCCTCAGCTGCATAGCATGCTTGAAGCTAGCCTAGGCTACATGAGATCTTGTTTCTACTAACAAAACAAAACAAAACAAAACAAATTTAGCACTGTTATAAAACTTTTCTCTAGCCATTTGAGGTGGCACATACCTTTAATCCTAGCACTCAAGAGGCAGAGGCAGGCAGATCTCTGTGAGTTCTGGCCAGCCTGCTCTACCTAGTGAGACCCTGTCTCAAAACAGCAATAACAATAATCAACCAAACAAAAACCTCCAATAAATGAAATAAAATAAAACCTTTCTCTTTAAAAAAGTATGTGAGATAGGATTGTGAAGTCTGATAAGCCTGTTTGGGACTGTAGGTGCTCCTATGTGTTAGATGCTTGAGGAAAACTTCTCAGACCCAGCTTGCCTACCAGGAGACACATACACTGGAGGTTCTTTTAGAGGATGTGCTACATACTTTGTATATTATTAATGATTTAACCTTGTAACATTTTTCTTCTCTAGGAAGTTTTCTCTGAGTGGATTGTAACATCGCATCATGTTCATTTCTAGGCTAGTTCATTTCTAGAACTTGCTGAAAACTTTGTATACTTTATACAGTTGACAGGTTTCTGTTCTGACTTAATGTATCATTTGAAATTAATTTGAAGTATCATATTTGTCAAGTAACTGCAATAGTGGTACCCATAGCCATAGTAGGCATTAACATAGGAATTGGAATCATGAAAGTTTTCTTTGTAAGTTTATTTAGAATGCAAACATTTTGTAATTAAGCAGCATGATGGCAAAAGTTTAGGTTCTTGTGACTGCTCACACTGTATAAATGTTTCAAGTACTGTATCCTGTGTGTATACACACAAATGCATTACATGTGCCCCCACCCCCTTCTTCTTAGACAAGGTCTTGCTGTGCTATACAGAATAATCTCAAATTCCTCATTTCAAATAATTCTCCCGTCTCAGCCTCCCCAGTACTGGGACTACAGGTGTGCATGACCATACTCAGTAGCTCCTCCTCTTCCTATTTTGTGTGTGTGTGTGTGTGTTTTAATGTGTATGAGTGTTATACCTGCATTGTATGTAAGTGCACCCATGTCGTGTAATGCCTACAGAGGACAGAAGAGGGTGTTGGATCCCCTGGAACTGGAGTTATGGACCGTTATTAGCTGCCATGTGGGTGCTGGGATTCAAACCTGGGTCTTGTGCAAGAACAGTGTTCTTAACCACTAAGCTTTATCTCCAGCCCCCCTCCTATTGTTTTTTAAAGACAACAGCAGCAACAAAGGCTGTTCTTTAAGAGTTAGTGTTGCACTGATGATGAGACACTCTGTCTTACTATAATACTTACCAATACAGTTCTTAGTAAAAAGACTATAGATACTTAGTAGACTTGGAGGCGTATGTATTTTCTCTTTAAGAACTGGGGCATTTGCCATACTTGTGAAAAATGTTTATGAGTTATTAAAAACTACCTATGTGGGGGCAGGAGAGATGGCTCAGCGGTTAAGAACACTGACTGTTCTTGCAGAAGACCCAGGTTCGAATCCCAGCACCCACATGGCAACTAACAACTGTCTGTAACTCCAGTTCCAGGGGATCTGACAGCCTCTTCTGTCCTCCCCGGGCATTGCATGACAAGGGTATACACCTACATATAGGCATAACACTCATACACATAAAATAAAAATAATAAATAAAATATTTTTTAAAAAACTTCATAAGTGGAGTTGAACTCTTTTGGAATTCAGTAACTTCCAGTAGGATTTGGCTTAGGAACTGGGAAGTGCACTAGCACCAGTTGATAATGTATACAGATAATTGTGAAGCATATTCTAATAGCTACTTGGTGGCTTTAGTTTTTCAGTCCTGAAATTGGCCTAAAGTGTGAAATAATTATTCTTAAATTTCAGTAATTGCTACTGGACATTGAAGATACCTGTCAGGAAGGCTACTTTTCCTTGAATTTTGCTCTCTAGTCTGAATTTTGACTTAGTTATTGGAGTTTTAAAGACCCAAATGTTTGAATTTAAAATTGTACAGTTAAAGGGACTATCCAAGAGGAACTTAAAAAATACCAGTCTCTAAGTCCTGTTAGGCACTTTCTCATTATCTTCTATCTGTTCTCAGTCACAAATGGTGCTAGAGATGGACCTGACTTACCCTGAATTTGATATCACAAGACAGACCTTTCTGGGGCCTGTATGTCTTGGCTCTCCTATATCAGTCTTGGAGTCAAAATGACATGTGATTGTTCTCCTTAGCAGTAGGCACATTTCCTATGTCTTTGCTGTTCATATTGGTAAAAAACTAAAGCAATTACTTTCAATACTTAGATCTGCTAACTCTCTGGATCAATTAGGGAAGTTTATGCCTCTTTGCAGTTCTTTCTCTCGCTAAGATTTATTTATGTGTGAGTAATTTGCTTGCATATATATAAGTGCACCACATACATGCAATGCCTGCAGGGGCCAGAAAAGGGAGTGAATCCCCTGAAACTGGAGTTTTAAATGATTGTGAGTTGCCTGATACGGGTGCTGTGAATCAAACCTGGGTCCTCTGCAAGAGCGTCAAGTGCTTTAAACCACAGAGCTTGCTCTTCCAAGCCCTTCTAGTTGTTCTTTTTTTCCCCTTCAATGTGTATTTTTATTAAATCTTTGTGCATTTCATACAACATATCCCAATCATATTCAGGCCTCCTTCCCCATCTGCACCCCCCACCAGATTTTATGCATTCGATCATACATAACACCCAGATTTCCCTTGGTGTGAGTTTATCCACTGGAGTCTAGTCAGCCTATCTAGAGTCACTCCCTTAAAGAAAACCAATTCTCCTTCACCCAGCAGTGATCAGCTGCCAGTAGTCCTCTGCTAAGGTTGGGGCCTCCTGGCTGTTTCCCTGGTTTTATGCTGGATTTTTGTCTGATTGAATTTGCATGGGTCTAGTGCATGCTGTCACCATTGCTCTAAGTTCATATGAGCAAGTTCCCAAAGGTCTGGAAGACTTGTTTCCTTCTGCGCATACACCAACCCTTGCTCTTATAGTCTCCCGACTCTGCTACAGAGTTCCCTGAGCCATGGGTGGTAAGGTTTAATATAGTCCTATCCAGGGACATGCACTCTGCAGTTTCTTATTCTCTACACTTGGCCAGTTGTGGCTTTCTATATCTGTCACCCTCTGTTGCACAAGGAAGCTTCACTGGTAAGAGTTGAGCAGTTCATTAGTCTTCTCTTTATCCCCTGTTCTTCTATGTTCCATGAGCCCTTAAGTGTAGAGGTTCCATTGTAGATGTGTCACTTAGGGCTGGGCATCTTGAAGACACTTATTCTCTGTGTTTAGCCACTTTTAGAACTTTGTAATAGTCTTCCATCTATTATAAAAAGAAACTTCTTTGATGAGTAGTGATAGGTATACTTGTCTGTAAATATAAGAATCCTTATTTAGCATATTAGTA